TTTGTTCTCAGTTTCTACAGGCTGGATGCACATCATGGCTGTGTGATGCGTTTGTCTTTTATGGTTTGGGTTTAAATTGTGTGTTTGGATCCATCAGAGAGCACTTAATCATCTGCACTCCACTGTGCTGGTTAAATGAAAGCTGACACGTCACTGTTGAGCTTTTTTAAGTGGATTTGAATGCCACGTTGGTCCCCAGAGGAGAAACGGAATTCTCTTTTACTCCGAGCCTCGTTTCTGTCTTTAAACCAGCCGTTTTCTCTCCAAGTCTGTGATTGTATACGAGGCCACCGAAGAGGCAGAAAGATATGCATTGAAACCTAAATTTTGAGCCTAAATTGGCCAAAAAGATGCTAAATGCTAGTAAACATGATGGCTTTCTGAGTTTCGATAAATTAAAATTCTTCATATGTTTTATTGTCTGCATGTGTAAACATGTTTTCTTTCCTTTTTTTCCCCGTGTCCTGTCTGGCTGTGAAGCAAACAGAAATAATGTCTGAATGCTGGTGACAAGCCTTACAGATTTACTCTCAGGTGGAGCATCAAAGCGTCTGCTTTTAATGTCACGCCTGATACTTAAAACAACAAAAATAAACAATCATTGATGAACAAGAGCCTGCTTCTAGACCTGTAGAAAGAGAAAAACAAACAACAAAAAGGGACACACAACAATACAACAGGAGCAAGCTATCACTGCGTCAACTTGATGAAGAAATATAAAATCAACGTTGTTTTACTAAACAATCACACGATAATAAATCACAGTGCATTTAATGGCAACCACAGGCTTGTGTTGAACATGCCCAAGTATACATACTTATGAGAGCACCATGTGAGCACCTGTGTGTGTACCCGTGCTTGTTTATGTAAGGTTTCTCTATAGGAGCGTCCAACAGAGAGTGTGAGGGACCACAGATCTGCCCCCCAAAGATGTGTAGGAGATGGGGGGGGCTCCAAGTCCCAGAGATCCAGGAGCTGCCCCAGAACACAGGGACCCCAGGGAGACTGCGACCAGAAAGGCCCCTTCCCCCCTCGAGAGGCACAGAGGATTGCCCCTGGGGGCCACAACCAGCAGCCGGCAGAGTCCCGGGAGATATCGGCGGCAAGCCCACAGGCCTGCCCACAGCCTTCCACCCCCTAGCCGGCCGACCCTGGGACCCATCGACCCGGGACCCAGGGGCGACCACCCCCGCCGGGGACCCAGCAGAGCCCAGGGACCCAGATCCCACCAGGCAGCCACTGGGATTGATCAGGAAGACTCCAAAAAATTTTAAACCCCCTAACCTGGGAGCCACGAACACTCAGACAGACCAAGGCATCACACTCCACACCAAATGTGGCAGGGAGAGGGGAGACGAAGATCTATATCATCAAAAGAAGTCCCAGGAGAAGGGAGGAGTCAAGAGCCCCACCTGACATATACAGTCATACACAAACACAGTCACACACTCCCTCCCTCATGCTCACACATACACATACAACCAAAGACTTACAAAAATGCACGCCGGACACCCACTCATACTCCCCATACACACCCTATTCACTCTGGTCCCGGTACTGCTGCACAAAGGGTACAACTATTTCCAGTTCCCAGAGTTCGACCCTTTCTGCTGGGGTGCTGATGAGCAGGCTCCCCCTGCCTAACGCTGAGCAAAGCAACCCACCACCCCAGACCCCAACCAGACGGCCAGATCTCCCTCCTAGCCTCCAGCCCCAGGAAGCCTAGCAACAACAGAGGTGGCTAAGACCCCTAGTCTCCCTCCGCCTGCTCCAATATAGTGTTGTGTGATCATGAGGTGTATTCCATGGCTGTGGTGAGCGGGCATCATCCGGCATATGCCAGCTGATGCCACCGCACCACCCCACTTACACCCTCAGCCATCAGTGTCTAAGTGCGGTTGGGGGGGGGGGGGTTGCAGACTTTTTTGTGCCCTGATTTCTGTCTGCAAGGCATTCATTCCTTCTAGAGAACACTGCAAATGTGTTGCTTAAACGTGTAATCCACATCTTTAACACTGTAACAATCATTTGTGACAACTTTTAGAGCCTGCACACACGTTGTCAGATATCCAAGAAAATATTTTTTAACGATTTGGCCTGTCATCCATACAGAAGTGAAGATGAATGGTACCAATGATTCTTTCGAAAATTTCCACCGAAGTGAAGATTTGCGAAATCTCCATTGTCAGCATTTGCTTGTGGATGTAAATAACCTGGGTTTTAGATTTTTTAACATCACTGGCCGCGACAAAATGCTGCCACATCACTGTGCAACCATGTATTTACAAACACTTGTTTGTTTTTACAAGCTCAAATACTGCTCTATGTAGAAGACTACAGGCCAAGGACGATGTTGGGGACCATTATTGCTCGACACCTACTTACTCCATGCCCAAGCGATGTTTTTATGCAAAGCTACAGAACATTTTGGGAACCACTGCAACCTACAGGCTTGGCATTCCTATGATCGTGCTTTACAATGCACAGTTTGTTTGTTTGTTTGTTTTTTTGCTGAATATAAGGTGGTGGGAACCAAAGTTTTTTCATGGATGGGCGGAGGGTGGATATTCGCTTTTACAAAAATCTGGCTACACGTCTGCGTGGTCTGAATGGGTTTCTCACATATTTGTGGAGGAATTTAGTTCCGGTCTTCTTCTCTCAGCTGAATTGAAGGGGTTCACCAGCATAAATGACCTATTTAAAGGTCAAAATTCAGAAACTCTACTTTTAGAATTATCTGGCAGAGAGCAGAATTCATTATTCTGTGGTTTTGTTAATTTTCTTGGAATGCATGATGTTGCTTTTGAGATCTTTTAGCCTACTTTATGTGTTCAGGTTCAACAACATGTTGGTAATCAGGCCTGCATGTGGCGGGATGAACCAGACTTTGTTTTCCAAACTAGCTCATTAATTACAGCTTATTTGTAATTGATTTAAAAATACAGTATTAATACATGCAAATGAATGATAACTTTCAACTAGAGTTAGGATGGTTTGGTTTGGTCCCCCCCCCCCCCCCCCCCCCAATAAATTAGGGTACCTTAATAAATCATTTAAAAGCTGCATTTTGCCTTTATTTACATTTGTTTGGCATGAATTTACTTTTCCTTTGTCTGATACTGAAATCACTTTGCTGCTATGAAACATTTAGGTGAGACGAAACAATTAAACACAGAAGGTAGCATTACATTTTCACCAAGTCATTCATCATTTTGATGCATAAAGGAAACACAAAACATTTAATTTTTAAGAAATAAATTATTTGGATTTATTCCGCTTGTGTGGCTGCTCAGAGCCAAACAGATTGGCGGATTCCTGTAGGACCAGCAGGTTGCTTCTTTTGCCTCTGGTTGTTGCCACGGTGACAATTTATGTCCTCAGTGACTGATGGATGCGGCGACCCTGCCCTTGCCTCAGAGTGTGTGTGTGTGTATCTGTATCAGAGTGTGTGTAAGAGAGGAGATAAGAGAGTGTGTAATGAGATGTAGCTAAATTTATAAATATAATATATATTCTGAGTAATGGAGCGGGTTTGATTAATGAGTTAAAAACAGCTGACAGAAGACATGTCAGTGCTGGGAAAAATGGAAAAATGTTGAGTTTGAAAGGAGGAGAAAATTATGTAAATGAAAAACATCGAAATGGAAAGTGAGACAAACAAGAAAAGGCAAATGCATGGCACAGAAGGTGAGAGAGAGAGAGAGTGTGTGTGTGTGTGTGTGTGTGTACGTTTGAATGAGGATGCTCACATGTGAGACTCCCACCCCCCTCCTCAAACATCCCTCTCTTGTCTGAATCCCCTTTGCTGCTGCAGCAGCGTTACCAAGGTAACGGTAGCCAGGCAATGACGCTGGGCATCACAAGCAGGAGGCTGAACACACCCAGCTCAGCTGCTCTCGTTGGACGGAGAACTGCACTAATGATGACACCGAGAAAAGCAGCGATGGCCGTGGAGTGCAGTGGGAGAGACAAAGCTTCGTGTTTACGGAAACAAATATTTCCTGCATATTTAGATTTTTTACTTCTACTTTTTTCAGGGATGATGAAATGACGTTCTAAAAGTCAGTGTTTTGGCGTTTCAATTCTCTTTGTGTTCCAGTTTAAACAGTAGTCTTTATAAATCGGCACACTAACAAATAAAGTGTCTGACAACAGGTCGTTACACGACTCAAAAACATTTTATTGATACACACAAAAAAAGTGCTAAATTACTGGTGAGTAAAGTAATAAAAAAAACTTCTGTTCCTCATCATTATATCTCATAAAATGGATCAGTGTATATTCCTTTTAGAAAAAAGATGCCCCAGATCTTTTGCTGCAGTGAGAGAAGAAAACCCCACCCCACCCACCCCGATTGCATCAGGAGACTCCCGCTGGCATTGGAAGGGTACCCTAGTTCTTCTCTGTGTTTTCAGCATCGTAGTCACGGAGTCTCCCAACATACCCAGTTGCAGTGCATTGCAGCGATTGGTCCTTACGTTTGTCTCATATTAAACCCAGTCAGATGCTGTATTTGCATGCCTGCAGGTGCTTGTTAGTCCTCTGGATGGGTTGTGGTGGGCGGGGCAAAAGGATCGACCTCATTGACTTGTTGGTTTGCTGTGTAGTTGATAGATGTGTAATCTGTGGTTTGAAATGTTGCATTTGGGCCACGATACCTGTATGTGGGCAGGATTTAAAAAGAGCTTAAGTTTGCAAACTAGTAGTAGGATGTCTGTTTACATTCCTTTTATTTTGGAACTCTATTGCCCGCTGTCAGGGCCGAGGCTCTCTTTAATAAGGTATTTGAAGCTTGACAGAATTATTCCTGCTATCCTGAAGAGTAAATGAAACTTAAAATGTATAAACATGTTTGCTCATTCCTATTAGACTTTTTTGCACATAAGGTAGTTTTGATTTGAGTTTAAAACAAAATTCAGTTACCACACCTCAATCTATGTAATGTGCTGATGGATGGAATGAATGGTAACTTATTTATATTTTGTTTTTTCTCTTTTCAGGGTGGTTACCCAGTCTGGGACGACTTCATCAGTAAGGCCACCAAACTACAGTCACAGCTAAGGTAACACACTTACTTTCATGTATTACTGTGCATTTTACTGAGCGCAAATGTAGTTTTTTCGATAGTTTAGATTTTCAGCTCCGATTCCTTTGGGACAAAATGTTGATAGGGATATTTTTTAACTGTTGGGCTTCTCATCAAAAGGACTCCCTCAGTTTATTTAAACAAAAAAAATAAATAAACAAAAATTTCTTGTGTTTTCTCAAATAAAATATCATCAAAAGTCATTAACAGAAGTTCAGTCATACTTAGGCTTTCCAGATCTGCAAGTCGATGGAAGTGTTTCCCCCGAACATTTTGGACGCACCCCAGAAGTGAAGTGTTGGGTGGCTCTGCCAAATTAACGCTTTGGGTATATTTTTACGCACTACACTTCCAGAACCTGTCGAGCTCAACAGTTCAGATTGAGCCAGACAGGAAATCAATACAGGAGTGATGTAAAACACCTCCTGTCTGGGATCTATTCATAAAGTATCTCTTTATGCTGATGATTTGCCTTTATTTATTTTGAATCCTCTTGCTGGTATCTTCAAACTGTTGACTCTTCTTTGTACATTGGTCCGATCTGGTCTTTGTAGTGTCAACCCACCGCCGCATGGCCAGGCTTTGTTCACACAGTCTTCTCAGGAACATAGATGTCTCTGAGCATGTGGGCGGGGCAAAGATGCATGGAAGAAACTGTGGTGTTCTCTTTAATTTGGTGAACAAGGGCAACTGTAAGCAGGGGGGCTGCCAGAGATTTTGGGCCCCATGAAAAAATATCAAGTTGGGCCCCCTGGGGGTCATCCATAGCTGGAGCTGGAGTTCCACCCTCCCAGATTCGAAGGGAGAAAACTATATAGTATATATACTTTATATTAGTGTTTCAGTTTTGCTTAATTATTTAGGTCTACATGCATTCTTACTTATTTACATATCATTTTCACCAGCTGTCTCTCATTAAACAGTGAATTTCCTTGAACAGAATTAGCAATATCACTGCTGGAAAAAGCAGGAAATGCACATGCTGAAAGGTGTTGATCTCCTTTTCCCTTTTACTCCCTTAAAATGTGTTTATTTATTCTAAAATTTTATTTGATGATAAAATTCAAATTTGGATATCTAACTAAATTTCCATGTTGTGTCAAAGCTTTACATAACTACATTTTCAGCTGTCTTTCCTCTTGAAATCAAGTATTTCTGTATGACTGAAAAAATTAAGGATTCACTGCTCACAAGGTGACTTCTTTATTAAGTCTCCATGGCTTCATCATAGACACAAAATGAATAAGCACACAGTTCAAACTGGAGTCCGTTAGGGTTACATAAAATTTTAAAGTTGGACAACTTTGCATGAATATGTATATAAGTCTCTAGTAACCAATTTTTCTCAACAACAAAACAGCTAAAAATTTATTCAGCCTTGATTGTACACAGCAAGATTTATTATTTACAGTGATATAATTAATAATGCTCCTGAGAGACATACTTGGTGACGGACTAAATAACAATGCTTCAACCTGCCCAGCATCCAAAACAATCTATACATTTTTACTGATTGTTTTTCCACATAATGATAATTATATATATCAATGTGTTTATCACCCAAAATAGCCGTTTTATATTCCTTTGTAGTAGTACTGATAGAGAAGAGAGCCTTAAGTGATTCCCACAGACCCCCTTAAATGAGGCTGCTAGCTAACATGCTGTGGGGGGGGGGGGGGGGTGAATTAATTAGTCAAAATAAAGTAGGGACCTCTGAATAAATACACATTTCATAAAGACTAAAAGATTGTTTAATGTCTTAAATGAGAAAAAAAATACTGTAAAGTACTTGTGATTTTTAAACTTTATTTTTTATTCAACTTTGAAACTTTTTTGGGCCCCTGACAGCTGTGGGCCCTTAGAATCTTCCTAATCTTTCACCGCTTTACGGCGCCCCTGCCTGTGAGCAGTGTTGCTTTTGGAGACTCTGATATGAAGCACACAGCTTCCTCCTCTGTCTCTGAGAGTGCTGTGTGCTCCTCACAGCAGTCGGTCGTCACCCTCCTGTGGCTGGAGCGGGGGTTCAGAGCTGCAGTCAGAGAAGATGTTTACCTAACTGCATCCAGTCTGATTAGGAATCATGCATGCGAGACGCTACTGCTGGCTGATTACCCATCAGAGGCTCCCACTACAGGTAGACGGGAACGTCAGCCGGCCGATCAGTCGGTCGTGGGTGTCTTGGTTCGGATTTGCACGAAGCTGATCGCTGGAGAGCGTGTCCAAAAAAACAAACAGCTGAGCACAGAAATTGCACAGATGTGAACACATTTAACCGACCAGGGCCGTGCCAGACGGGAAAGGCCTTACTAGAGGCATACATGCTCTTGTTTCTAGCAGCCGTTTCTCTAAGCATTGCCACTTTATATTATTATTTTATCGTGATTAGATTCTTACTTCCTAATTCTTCATTTTTTTTGTACCAAGTGCCGTAGCAATTTCCTAATGTTGTGATTCTCATACGTGTGGCAAAAAAACCCTTCTGATCTTCTGATTCTATGTGATTTATATGTTGGTGGTACAGCTGCCTCCACTGAACAACCGAAGGTCAGGTTTCGTATTACAGCGGGGACACTTCAAGTCGAACTCTGGATGTTTTTCCGCTGTCCCCGCCTCAGACTCCTCTTGATGAGATCTTAGATTGTCGGACATCTACTAAGAAAGTTAGCTTTGCACCAGGCTCCGCTCACACCATGGGACCAGTTTGGCCGTTTTAAATGAGGATGGGAGCTGGACCTGGGTGTGATTATTGCAGGAGGTGTGGCACAGGCTCGAATCCACATACATACATTCATCATCTTATTTCCTGTACATCTCTGGCTCTGCCCACACATCCCATCCTCATCCCCAACCCCACCACCTCACTTCAGAATCATTTATGGTCTTTTTTTTAAACCACGTAGAACATTTTTCCAAAGCAGACATGTTGGATCTTTATTAAGATATTCAAATGAACTAAAACCTCCGGTAATGAGGAGTAAATGCTGGACCTTCATCTGTAATTGTTTGATTCTGCTTGAAACAGTTTGTCATAAAATTTGTACTAAGTGGCTTAAAATAAAGCTATAATAAACAATTTAGTAGCATTTTATACTTTTCATATATAATTTTAAATTTATTATTTTGTAGTATTTTTGAAGTGATGAAAGTTGTGTGAAAAATAAAAACAAATTACTTCGTAACTTTCATCCAGCCGAGTCTTTTCAGGGCAATGGGCATTGCACCTGACCCTGACTAACTTTTGAATCAACGACTTTTTTGTCTGGTGGTTTTTTAGTGAGGGTGTTTATGGACGAAGTGGAAGAAAACGAAGGCTAACCTCTCCTTGAACTTTCTTCATCCAGGATTTCCCTCTTGCTGGGATCATTCAGCTACTTTTGTTCATCATAAGTAGTCTTTTGTCATTGGCCATATTATAATGCCAAAAATAAAAACAATTATTATTTTTTATTATGTTTCATAATCGAATTAAACTTTAAGGTGCAGGTTGTGTTTTTTTTAAAATAAAACACTCATTGTTACTTCTAATATGTCAGAGCTTTTGGGTCACACACACATTGGGCTCAGATCATTTCCTGGTGCAGGTGTTTAGAACCTGATTGTTCTGCTTCAGTAGGTGTTTAAATGTCAGGCTCACCCTCTGTTCTTTCGTCACAACCCTGAAATACACACACACACACACACACACACACACACACACACACACACACACACACACACACACACACACCAAGTATTTGGGGATTTTTCATTGTGAAGACCATCCTAATGTCCTCCCAATTTGTCCTCATAATCGATTAAAGACATGCACTCACACACTCGTGCATACACACACACTTACTTGCATGGAACCAAACAACTGACGTCTGCATGCTACCCAAGCTGCAAAAGCCTGCAGTTAAACCCCACTTTGTCATGGAAAATCAACCCAACACACACATTTACCGTCACGACTTTCCACTATTAACCACCCAGCGACACCTGCCCTGCAGCGTAGCTATGTGCACACACATGCACACACACACATGCACAAGTTAATTAACCTTCTGTGGCTGGCAGAGATGAATGAATGACGGCAGCATAAAGTCATTATCAGGAAGATGGCTGTTTAACTCTGGATCAGAGGACTGCAGAGCATCTCTTGTTCTTTTTCATTCTGGTTTCTTTTCAGCATTTTTAGCCAGCCCTCGTATGGAAACCTGAGAAGGTTACTTATGACGCTTCTTTGCTTCCTGATGACCACTTTTCATTATAAAGGGAATGTTCTGAGCTGGTTTACCTGTCTTGCAGAATGATGACATTTCACATTTGGCATTCAAAAATGTACTCACCCAATCAACATTATTAATACGTGCTATTGAACGTGTTTATATTTTCTACCAATACAGAAGTTGTGAATGAACTAATTCTGTGTCTGTTGTGTTTCCAGGACAACGGTGGTGGCAGTGGCAGCCTTCCTGGATGCCTTTCAGAAGGTGGCTGATCTGGCGACCAGCAGCAGAGGTTGGACAAAGACTAAAAATGTCTGCTTGCTTGTTGGTAACAGTTTTGATGCATCTTCCCTGACGAGACAATGGGAACAAACCATTCAGAGAGGCTAACGCAACAAAACGAGAGCCAGGTTTTAGTTTGATGAGATGGCACACATTTCTGTATTTGCATGAGATGCTCTCAGAGTAACTGGACAGAATGTCGACCTTTGGACAGGAATTAAAGCTGTTAGCACTGATCTGAATCCGGGCTGGGCTCACACGAGTCAAAGTGTTTCTTTAGAGTTTTGGAGCAGTTAGTCACTCGTTAATAAAACCTTTTAGTTTTGGTTGTAAAAGGTTGCTGCTGTCTACATGTGTCATGCGTTTTATCAATATATTTATCAATAACCCATTTCCTATAGTGAAGGGAGAAGGAGACAATGAGCAGACAACTCAAGCAGTTATAACTGTGGCATAATGCACGAGGCAAAACGTCCCGGACATCTGTTCACAGGGTTTATTTATAGAGAGGTGGGAGTAGTGGGAGTGTGTGTGTGTGTGTGTGTCCTTGTGTGTGTGTGTCTGAATAAGTGGCCTGCAGAGAGGCATAGAGAAATATATTTACATTCAGTTTGAGTCCATGATCAAGAATTAATAAACATAAATTTGTCCATAACAGCATGAAACTGTAAAGAATTATTCTAAATCATTAGGTGTTTGAGAGGAATAAGTCTGTACACTAAAACTAGCTCACTATTGGCAAAAGCACGTGACTATTGTAATTTTTATCCAAATGCAACCGGCTACAGCCTAATTATCAGCTGTGTTAACTAGGGATGCACCGATCAGGTTTTTTGCTGCCGATCACCGATACCGATCACGTGGATTGGCCAGAAATTTTCTACAACATTATAATGAGTGCTACAAACTACATAATCTGGGAATAAAGGAAATGTAACCTAATCTAAAATGGTCTGTATTAGGGTTGTCACGGTGTGAAAATTTAACCTCACGGTTATTGTGACCAAAATTACCACGGTTTTCGGTATTATCGCGGTATTTTTTTTAAATGTGCTACATTTTCACACGAATAAACCCTGTATGTCAGGAAATATTGTCCTCAGTTTGTCTAAATTTAGCCTAAAATGAGTTATTTTGTAATTATGTTGTTTATTTGTTTACAATTTTTCCCTTTAGTCTTTAAAATACCAATATTTGCCCATAACTTCTTATTTTATGTCTGTTTGATGTCATCATTTTAAAAATATTAGACCAGATGATACTCAGTACTCAAGTAGCCTTCTAATCAGATACTTTTTTTACCCTTACTTGAGTAATAAACCCTATATCAGGAAAATATTGTCCTCGGTTTGTGTCCTTCCAGTGAGCTTTGCAGATGTGGGAAAATGTCATCAGGCAGTAATAATTGTTAAATTCATAATTATTCTCGGAGAGAGACCAACTCTTATCGGCCCCTGGGAGCCCCGTAATGCATAGCGTCATTTCAACATGGCGGTGTCCGCGACACGGTTTATATGCAGGTAGCGGCACTGCGGCTGCTTTATATAGCGACTCGTTGCATTCTCCCTCAACCCAAATCCTCAGATCACGCATTTTAGCTAAAACGCTAACGTTAGCTTGCCTTGCGTTGACTGTAGAGTTGTGGGTGATGGTCACGCAGATGTGTTATGAGATTTGAAGCGTTGCTGCCTTTCACAGACACTTTTTCTGCACGTGCTGCAAACAGGATAGCCGTCTTCTATAAACTGTCCCTCGGCATTTTTCAAATGTCCAAAAGATGCCCGTACTTCTGACTTTGTCTTCTTTGAGGGATAAAAAATGTCCTGAGCACTGCCGTCTCCTCCTTTGGCCATTATTTCAGCTTTAGCTTCAAGAAAGTTTTGGTTGTAAACAACAAAGTGCGCATGTGCCGCCGGCAACTTCAGCCGATGATACGGTGGCTGGTAAGGGTCATCGCGCCTACACCGCAGCCACAGTAAACCCACCGAGATAATATAGTTCTTTATAAAAACAAGACGGTTATTATTATTGTCAACTTTTTTACCGGGGTTTACCGCTACACCAGTTGCCGTGACAACCCTACCTGATCGGTCTGCTTTGATCTAATTTGAAAACTCCGATCAAAACCGATAGGGGCGCTATCGGCCGATTGGGATCAAATGCCGATCCATCGGTGCATCCCTACTGTAAACTAATAATCAATAATTTATGAGGTCTGTCTTATTGTAAGGTGGAACCAAAAATGAGTAACAGGAAATTTGAGCAGTTCCTAAACGCTCCCACAGCGCATGGAAGCTGAAAAAACTGCTTAGATAAAAGGTTTTGTCCAGCAATAACGAAAAGAGGACCTGAGAGAGCGTTCGAGCTCTGAGGTTGGAGGCGAGCCAGATGTCTGCTAAAAGAGCCTCAAAGACGAGCAGAAGAAAACCTGCTTCCTGCACATACAGCACCAGGCGTGGAGAAAAAAGCTTAAAGAGAAGTCAATTAACAGTTTCTGCTGACCTGCATTTACACGTACATGCACACACACACCCACGGAGCCTGTGTTTTAGTTTTCAGCTTGCATACGGCTAATGCACACTTGGCGTACTGTCAGCTTTCAGCACATAAACACGAATCGTTGAGGGCAAACTTGCACAAACGGCTTAAGGCAGTGATGTTCCTTTTTGTAGGACTGAATAACAATTGAAGACTCTTCACCAAAGTATGTTAGTCGATGTGGTGCAGACATGTGGGATGAAAACACAAATACTCCATTATTTATCTACCGTAGTGTCGTTTGATCACCACAGGGTGTTTCTGTTAGCGTACAATCTGCGCTCTTGCATTAAATAACACTAAAATGATACTAAATCCTGATCTTTATTTGGATTTTTCAAAGGTTAAATGAGCCCCAAGTGTCACTGGAGCATAATATTCATTGAAAGTGCCCTGATAGGGAATTACGCCATTATTGTGTCATTATCTGCCGCTCCAATGAGGTCAGAGAGCGAGCAGGCTAAGAAAAGTAGCTCAGCCAATAAAATCTAAATTATGGGAATAGAAAAACCAACGCAGCCCGAGATGACCTTTGTTCTGTGTGTCTGTTGTTCAGTCGCACAAACAATGAAATATGTTGGTGTTTGCAGCTGCTGTGAAGCAGTTCTCGCATCCAGCACATTGATCTGTACTTTTCTGCTATTGATCAATAATCTGCCACAGCTTTCCTTCCTATCACTAAACTGTGACCAGTCGATATTAGATGCTTCCGGGATTGATTAGAGGAGGCAGAAGGCTTCGATGAGCAGCCCGGTTCGGCTGTGCGTGTGTGTTTTTACCGTGACACACCAGAGTCCTGTTTCTGGTGAAATTTATACGTTTAGTCAGATTGAGTTTTGTCTTCGCGCGTGTGTGTGTGTGTGTGTGTGTGTGTGTGTGTGTGTGTGTGTGTGTGTGTGTGTGTGTGTGTGTGTGTGTGTGTGTGTGTGTGTGTGTGTGTGTGTGTGTGTGTGTGTGTGTGTGTGTGTGTGTGTGTGTGTGTGTGTGTGTGTGTGTGTGTGCACACTGCTGGATGTAGGCCAGCTTCCTGTCGTGGCACATCGCTATCACAATGACAACAGTAGCCAAGGAAACAATCAGTCACTGTCAGGATGTTCGTAAGCCTCTGGGTCACAGCCGCTCTGTAATTGACTGTGTGTGTGTGCACGTGTGTGTTTATGGTGTTTGTCACACCTGGAGCAGTATGCTAATTATTGGCTTCTTTTAACAACTGTTGGGCACCATTAGAGGTTTCGCGAACCATATCTCAAGTCTTGGAATTCCCCCTTTTCCAGGTTTCTCTAACAGTTGTCCGAATAATAATAATAATGGCACTAAGTGTTGAGTGATCTGATTCAGTTACTAGCTGGAAATAGATAATTGTGTTAGGATACACATATAAGCATTCAAAAGAAATCTGTAAAGAAATGTGGAACGATGTATTTTCAGGTTCCTGTTGCTGACGAGCCCATCATTTGGAGTTCTAATGGAAATATCCATCTTAGAACAGGATTTGACTGTATTATGCTAACGCCTTCCTTTCTTTCACAGTTGCCGTCTTCGCAGCTTAGCTTCTTCCATCGATGATGGAAAGTAGTTGTCTTGAAATGTATGCAAACCCTACCAGTGGAAAAACGATTTAGCTCTGCAGGTCGGTCTAGCCATGCTCCATTAGAGCCTCGGCAAGTCTATCATTGGCTCTGTTGTATTGAGGCTAGGCTAATCACAGTGCTCTACTTTTGAAGAGAGCCATTGGGTGGGCTTAGCAAAACTACAAAGATGGCTTCGGCTCAGGAACATCGCTCGTTTGAAATAGTTTTGGTAAAAACTTTGGACTATTTAGACCTGGGCTTTTCTTTAAAAAATGCAGATAGAGGTACTTAAGTCCTTTATATTCTTCTTAGATGGTGTATGGCAGACTACCCCATTGAGTGATTTCCATTGCTATAAATGTGCCACTGATTGGTCCTAGCGCTGTCCAGTTGTGTGCAGAGGCAGTTTGAAAGATAACCGTAGCTTTAGCCTCTGTCTTTGGGTCATAGCCAGAACCTACATAGCTAGGATTGCTAACCAGGCTAGTAAAGTAGGAGTCAAGAGTCAAACTTAAAGCAAACAAATCAAATAATTGACAATTTACCAATTTTGAAGAAGAATTAAAATGTTACGTACTTTTTAAAAGCCAGTATTTCTATCACTTAAATCTATCATTATGTTTTCATAGATATTGACCGGGTGTTAATTACCCTTACATGAAAGGTTTTAATTAAATGAGTATTGACTAGCATGATTTAATTGTTAGAGCTTCGCCCTGATTCTCCAAGCTAAAACCAAACCTTTGTTTTGATGCCAGTTCTATTTCAACCGCGTTGCGGCTGTTTACGACATTGTGCACTACTTTACAACAGACATCACGGCGCGGAATGGCTTTACGGCACAAACCCAGCCGCAGTTTTGATGACTTTAAAGTACTATTGATCTTAAAATATTCTAATA